TCCAAAGCACAGACTTAATGTTGATCATTTATTTCAAACATTTTTGCAAGAAATACAGATGTATTTAGGTACTGTTCAGAAGAAATGCTCAGCAATAATGGATGCCAAAGAATCTGACATCATCTGGAATGGATTCATCAACAGATTCAACTCTGTAGCTTCAAATCTGAAGAACGTCTGTACTAATGATGCAAAGCTCAGATTTGCTGAGGCTGCAAGGACTCTACTCTGGACTGTCAACAAATCTGAACCTCTGCTTCTTTTAGATGCTCCTCCACCATCAACAGAATCTACTGAAAATGCATCTGAAGAGAATCAATTGGCTATGACTCTGGTAGACCCTTCTTCTACTTCCAATGCTCCAGACTCTACAGAACCAATGGAAATTGACTCTGTTCATGCTACAGAACCTAATCATACTTCTTCATCTGAGATAAAGAAAGAACATCCAGATTTTGAAGATAAGATTGCTGCTCTGGAAGCTGGACAGTCAGAGATCAAATCCTGGATGGCTAAGCAGGATAAGAAGTCTGAGGATATGACAGAATGGATGTCAAAGCAAGATGAAAAGAATGAAACTATGGCTAAGTGGATGTCCAAGCAAGAGCAATCATCCTCTGAGATTACAGATCTATTGAAGATGCTTTTGTCCAAACACTCTTAGATTTTTTTCATTCTAATGTTTTTGCATCTGTTGTTTGCATTTGTACTTTATTTGCTATATCTTCTGATGTTTGCCTATGTACTCTTGATCTGATCTTATGAATGAATCAAAGTTTTCTCCATTAAATTGTCTAATTTACTGTTTCTTTTTATTTTTCCTTTTAAAGTTTTTACTTTTTGCTTATGACAAAAAAGGGGGAGAAAATATAGATCTGAACTGTTTAATATAACTTCACCAGAATGAAACTTCAGACATATCTATTCTATCTAACATTTAATCTGACTATTTCAGAACATTTGATAAGTACATTCTATAAAAGAAACTCTGAGTCTCTCAGATCATTTGTCTATTATCAAACTCTGAATCTTAAATCTGCAAGACATTCTGACCTTCAAATGTTATAAGAACAAACAAGATCTAACTCTGAAGATTACTCAAGACAAAAGGGAAGTTTCTATTCCTTATTTGTATTTAACTCAGGGGGAGATTCATCATCTCAGGGGGAGTTATAATTCAAATATTTTTAATTAAACAAAATTTCTGATGCTTTTTGTCATCATCAAAAAGGGGGAGATTGTTAGAGCACAAATTGGTTCTTAATAATATCTCTTTGTTTTGATGATAACTATTAGGAAATTTTGTATTTAAGAATTATATACTCTAAAATTTGCTTGAGAGTTTTACTGCAGATTGTAATGAAATTAACACTCCAGAAGCAAATCTGAATTGTATACAAGAAGTTATCTAGACTCTGAAGCGCCAGATGCACTCATTAAAAGACTCTAATTGCTGCTAACAGAAGATTCTGAGCGAAGCCTCCAGAAGGATCTGAAGCAAGTAGCTCCAGAAGATTCTGAAGCAGAAGCCCAGAAGAATCTGAAGCAAGCAGATGCATCTGAAGCAAAGAAGAATATGGTATGAAGAGTTTCTCAAAGCATAGTTTCTACAGAAGTTTCTAAAAGTACTAAAGCTGCCAGTACTGAAGTTCTGTGTCAAATATGCTCTGATGATCAACACGTTGAAAGCACACATGCTGCAGAAGACTCTGATACAACAAAGTTCTGAACATCATTAGAAGACTCTGACTCAATCAGATTCTGATGAACTTGCTGAAAACTGAAGAAGAATTATTCAAAGATTATATCCGTTGGAGTAAATCAAACGTCTCTTTCCTCATTTGTGCTAGACATAAGAACACAGACAAAAAGGATTTTTCTGTGCCTTCTACTTCTAGGAAAGGTCACTTGATGTAAAGACAAAAAGGCTCAGACCTTTTTGGGACACTCTTCTCAACGCTCAGCTCTCCTTGGATCAGCTGCCTATAAAAGGAAGACTCCACCAAATTCTTCAGTTAGACATTTTGCTGAAAAGAAATTATAACATTCAAGCTCTCATACTTTCATATTCATTCTTAGAATTATTTGTACTTAATCTTAAGAGAAATATCACTGTTGTGATAAAAGCTTTTTAGAAGCATTCATACTCTTGTATTAGATTTACATTGATTGTAAAGGTTTTCCTTAAGAGGATTCAGTTGGAATCAGTAGCTCTTGAGAAGACTAAGAACAGTTGTTCTTAGGTGTTACTATTGTAATCTGTTTGATTAAATAGTGGATTAAGTCCTTATTGAGAAAGGAAAATCACTCTAGGAAGGGTGGACTGGAGTAGTTGTGTTCAACGAACCAGGATAAAAATAATTGTGTTTTAATTCTAAGATTTAATCTTTCATACTTATTCAACCCCCCTTCTAAGTATTATCTCACCTTCACAACATTCTTCTGATTCAAGATGAATACAACTTCTGAGCAATCTGCTACTCCTATTACTCTAGAGGCTCCTGCAGCCTCTGAGGCTACTTCTAATCAAGGGGTCAGACCCTATTAATCGTTCCTTTCAACATCTCTTCCTCAGGCACTGAAGCCACAAAAGAAGATTAAGAATAAGAGGAAGTCCAATAGAAGAAGAAGAAGAGAAGTGATTCATTTCGTTTATGATGAGAAGGAAGAAGCGAATTTGGAATGGGAATACTCTTTCCATGCTTAGGAAAACTAGGGATGATTAGGGTTAATGTTATAAACATCATTTTGTAATCATTTCTTTAATTCAATGAAGTTCTTTTCCCTTTTTAATTTGCATACCATCCTTTTAATCATAATTATTTCTTTTAATGTCAACTGATTAAGAAGTTCATAATCAAGACAAAAATAATGCTTTTAACTTGATATTTATTTTTCATTAGATTCATGTGATACATTCAATTTACCATAAAGATTGCTTTGGTTATACAATTAAAGACTGAGAAAGGATACATCAAAATACACTAAGAATCAGAAAATACAAATCTTAAGCAAAATAGAAAAGAAATACTCGAAACAAGAAATATCCAGTCTTGAAACAAAAGTACTCTTTCGATACAATAGCTTGTACGAAGCATTGTATCTTAAGAGATACAATTGTTACAGGATCTGAAAAGATTTTGACCCGAGGGAAAGAAAGAACATAGAAAAACTTAGGAAGGTTATGAAGACTTCCAAAGTTTGAGTGGAGGAAGAGGGAGTTGAATTGTCTTTATGAAACAACATGATCTTTACCAACAACTCTTTAACCTAAGGTTAAATGATACTTCCTCCAGAGTTACAATTGTTCCTTGTAGAGAAACAAGTTCACCCAAAACTTGTTTAAAAGGAATGAAGAACACTTTTATCACAAATGGAGAAGCTGATATCTTCAGGAGGTTAAACATTACTTGAGAAATTTTGATTTGTGCGCCTGAGTGAAGGAGAAGCAGAAGATCATAGTCAGAGGCTCCAAATTCTTCAAGGAATACTAGGCTTTCATTGATGTTCTCCAGTTAGTTTTTCAAGTCAAGGTTTGGGCTAGAGGTCATCTCAGGTTAGGATGAGAACGAGAGAGAAGAGCTTTTAAAAAATCAGATCAAGGTTGCACACAGTGTCATCTAGAATTGAGAGATAAGAATGAACAATCTAAACTGAGGAAGATTAGTTTAAATAGAAAATAAAAAGGTTTAATCAATAGAAATTTATTTAAGACAACTAAATTTTGAAAAGACAAATCTCAGAAAGTCGTTTAGAAAACCAACAAGTAAGATAAACAAGTACAAAGAAAAAGATAAGACATAACAACTGAGAAAATCAACAAATCATCCAGAAGATAAAACATCACTAGTTCATAGGTTCTACGCAACACTACTATTGAATATGCATGATAGATTTTCAAATATGTGAATTTTTAAGTAAAACAATTGTCAAAAAGATTTTTCACTTAACTACTATCTAAAATTTTGTATGTATGTCTTTGCTGAGTCTCAGAATCTGATCCTTTTCACACACATCAAAAATTGTATCCAATTCTTGAATAAACAAAACAAGTCCTACCACATGCGTGCGCACAAAGGTATGGATTTGTAATCACAAAGATTGGTTATTGGTTCTTGTATATTTTTATTTTATGGCAAAATGATAGTATTATTTACTACCAACATAAAATTCAATTTTGCATAAAAAATTGATGAATGAAATGTAAGTTTCAATGTTAAAAAGCCTCTAATTGAACAAGGCGTATAATGCATCTTTATATAGTTGGATTATTGTCTGTGTGGAGATTTATCAAACTATGTTCTCATTCACTTTTGAAACAGCTTCAAAGGTCGTAGTGAGTAAGTCTCACACTAGTACGGTAAATTTAGACAATAATCACAAGTGATTCTTGCATTGTTTTCTATGTAAGATCCTTCAAATCTAACTTGTTAGGATGGAGCATCATATCTACAGGGACAATGACAAAGAATCAAATTTTGACTTATACCCAAAACCTTCAGTACAATAATGCACAACAGAATCTTGAGTATTTCCTAGTTCAATCATTTACTCCATTCCAAAACAAGTGGAGGCTCAAGTCGCAATAGTTGTCCCTACCTGTAGTCGTTTCAGTCGTCATACAACTTCACAGGAGGTATGTTGCTATCCTTTTTTTCCCCGTAAATATATATTTTAAGAATCAAACTTCTGGATGTTTTGAAAGAACTTGTTAGTAAGGAGAGTGTTCTAGAAATCAAAGGGTCGGCGGGTAACATCTCTCTAATAGATATGTTTGTGAATATTAACTACTGAAATGATTGAAATGACTGTATAATGAAATGATGAAACTACAACATTGCCTATCATGATTACTCAAGAACTTAACAGAAGAGGAGTTAGAAAGGATAACATATTTCAGAGACACCACAAGGCATGTGTCAACCTCTTACATTAAAACTAAAACCAAAGATTCCCTTCATTCTCATATCTACAAACCTCTACTTATAGCTACACAAAACTCAGAATGGAGATGATGCTATTCGGCGTAGCTGATATTTAGGTTCAGTAATTGGTACGCATGGCAACAAATTCTCTAGCTCCTGCATGTTGAAGAGAAAAAAATTAGTAACAGGATCTGATAATCCAAATGACACATGCTCAGATCTCGATTAGAGAAACATAATATGCAGAGTTTCTTATCTCCAGAAGATGCAAAGCTGAAAACATGATCAACAAATTGACAAACTATTCAATCTGAAGACTGAAGATATGTTTACTGAGGAATTTGCTACATCAACAAAACAAACTTAAAGCTATTAAATTTAGAATTTCAAAGCAGAACCCAACCTTTCGTTTCCTCAGCATTTGATTTTCCTCTTCCAGGCGCGACACTTTATTCTCCAATTCATTTGTGTAGGCCTTTTTATAAAAGTCATTAATCAGATTTAGGGTTCTCATTTCAGGAAAAACCAAATAAATAACAAGGACTTCCGACACTCCATATAAAGAAAGAAAGTGGTCACCTGTTTCCTTGCTCTTGAACGGGCAGCGGATTCCCGATTCTTGATCATCCTTTTCTGCCTTCTCTCAACAGTTCTCTCCACCATACCATCAGGTGTGCTTCTTTTCATTCCGGAAATCTGCATATCCGACACAGTTTCCATAAGAGGCGCAGCCACTGCCATTTGACTATCTGCAAATGGAATCTCCATCGAAGCAGCAACCCCCATGTGTAACGGCTGTGCTATACCCTGGCTAGCCATATAAACTCCCATTGAACTTTGTAGATGCTGCTGATATTGTGGTTGCGATTGCGAATACTGAATCCACTGACCTTGTGCAGGAAACTGTGATACTGCTACATTTGAATCCATTCCAGTGGTAGTATCTGTATTTGTTTTATTAGAAGATGCTTCAGCAACAATGCCCGCTTTCACCAAGAAATCCTCCAATGTCATCTCTCCTAAAGTAGGTTGTCTCTCCCGTGACTTCTTCTCGTCGCTGTCTTTCTTTTGTTGGATATCTCTCCAAACCTCATCTACAGTCTTCTTGCTCAGTGCAGCTTTTAACGACAGACTAGCTTGACGTTGTAGAGAAGCTTCACTAGCTTGTGCTGCGCCTTCATTGTCCGAAGTCATGGACTGGTTCACCTCAACAGTCCATACATTTTTAAGAAGCTCGTCTAGGTTCATACTACTTAGTGGCTTTCCTAAGTCACCTAACTGATTTTCAACCTCGTCAAGTGTGAGACTGTATACCGAATTTTGCCGCACAAGAGGTTGGAGTTGAGATCTCTTTTCAGTACCATCTCCACCTCCTTGAGACCCCATTGTTTGGATCCCCATTTACCAATTACCAATGATAACAATTCACTTCACATCTCACATTCAACCATTTTAGCAGTATGAAAACGAAACCATTTGATCAAAACTTTAAATCCTGCCCCATAAAGTGATCATTCGCAAGCTTTTAGGATCTATAATAACAGACAATCGTATCAATGCATCCAAAGGAAACAGTCAATTGAAGGAAAGTAACAAAATTTTCTCATTTTGTCACTCATTATATCATATAGCTAGACATGCAAGGGCAAAACTATAATTTCTGTGAGGACTACAACTTCAAATACATAATTCGAAATTGAAACCAGTTCAAGAAGAAAAATGAGATATTGGAATTTTGCAGTATGATCCATTTCATATCCTTTAAAATTGAAACCAAAATAAAAAAGAAAACAAACACAGTATTGTAAAACTGCTTTACTTACTATGCTAAATACTTTTTTTGGATGAAAAATTAAGACCTAAAAGTATAATTTTTTTCCCATTTCTTTTCAAATTACTTCAAAAACGATCATTATAACCTTGATCCCTATGCATGCAAGGTCAAAAACACATCTACCTAAATCAAATTTCCATTGAAATTCAAAACCCCATTTTCAAATCACACAAATTGCTTTTGTTACTTCAGCCCAAAACGACTTCCATCATTTCACATGACAAAAAAATGGGGATAATAAAAACACAGAAAAAACAAAAATCCATCAGAAGAAAATCAATTCATGCACAGAAGATAATGAAGAAAAACACCCAGAATTCAAAATAGAAACTTTCAATGAAAAACTTCAAAGGAAACCCATTTGCATGCAACCAATTTTGCATCACTGTCGAAGCACAAAAACAAATGAGATCAAAATCAAACCCATTACAGACCTAGTTTTTGTTTATACATGCAATGACAAAAAAAAACAAATTTGAAGAGAAAAACATCATGGATAGGAAAGAGTGTGCTCTAAGTAATAAAAAATGAAAAAATGCGAACCTTTATTTGTCGGAGAGAGAAAGACACCGATCTGAAAGTTTCGAGCAAGTGATTGAAGCAATGAGCAGCGTTTGATGAACAAAGGTTTCAGAAGTGTGTTTGAGTGTGAGAATGGAAAATCAGAGAGAGAGAGAGAGAGAGAGAGAGAGAGAGAGAGAGAGAGAAACCCAACCAAATGGCAGTTTCACAATTTTCTGTTCATAAAAAATTGGGGATCACTATCAATATTTTAAGGAAAAATAAATAAAATAAAAATTCACCATAAATTAGATCCGAAATTTAGACATAAAAGATCCACGAGTGATCCGAAATTTAGACATAAAAGATCCACGAGTGACCATAAATATTTATTTATTTTAGACTTAAATATGTTTTAATTTTTAGTAATAAATTGTTTTTTAAGTTTGTGTAATTTTAGTAATATACATTTTAATGGTCGTAATTTTTTAAATAGATAAATTAAAGAGAAAATAGATGAAGCATCGATAGTGTAAATTAATTTTATATTGTTAATCAATGACGATTATATGTTCTATAAAGTCACATTAAAAATTTTAAATTATTTGTATGACATGATAGACTGTTATATTCATATTAAATGATAATGTAAATTTTTTTACACAATTAATGTATCTCCATTAAATTATAGATTAAATATAAAAAAAATTGTCTCTAAAAATATTTTAAATTTGTTTAAAAAATCAGATATTTGAATCCAAATTTTGTTAATATTTGTGAACTAATCTAGTTATATAATACTACAAAATATAATTATGATTATATGATATATCAAAATTTAAGAGAAAAATAAGATGATATCACTCATGTTTTTTAAAGGAATTGGTGTCTTTTTACATGAATCAAAGAAGGGTATTTATATTACTAAAAATATAATTATTACACTAATATAAATAATTGATATTTAATATTTTAAGTTTGACATATTGAACATCTACAATAATTAATATTACTATTTTAAGTTTAACATTTAGATGTATATTTCTAAATAATAAATAATTTTCTTATCTATTATAACAAAATTTGATTAGAAGACTTTTTACTATTTTTAATTAAATATTAATTTTTAAAATATAATTGTTACAACATTTAGTCAAATTATTTAATGAGGTTAACAACTACACATGATGTGATATTTTTATTAATATTACAGGTTTCAACAATCAATTTGTTTGATGTTAGAGTGTTTGTCTTGAAAGAGTCGTTTTACGTACTATTTTTATCGCGAGGGTTATTAGTTTGTGAAGCAATTCATGGTGGCAGTTGATTCATTCACCATCTTGAACAGTAAAGACTCACACATGATTTTTTTTTTTTACTATTACATTTCGTGACTCTTCGCGGGTTTGCTAGGTAGTGTTTTTAGGTTTTTTAGACCACATTGGTTGTATTGAACGATTTATATGTCCCTTTAAGTTGATTTTGTGGTCTGATTGAGTATGCTTTATGTCCCCTAATATATTGCATTTCTTTTATTTTCATTTTTATGTATATTTTGACTTATTAAAATAAAAAGTAGGTCAATATGGTTCAGGGTAAAAAAATGCATCTCGAATTGAATTTTCTCTTTTTCTATAATTTATTGTGTCCCGAATACATGAATAATAGTGTGTGTATGTGCACGCGCACATAACAACAACAATTAAATATGGAAAACTTGATGAGGAAAGTTGCGATTTGCAAAACAATGTGGTCTATGAAATTGATTTTTCGCGAAGTTTGTTTTTATCAATAAGGTAGATAGGTTCAATATGGAGAAGCAGAGAATTAAACTTGTATTCTTTCTTGTTTCAAAATTTAATGACACATGGGATATGTTTTAGTTATATTTTTCAATTTTTAAAGTTTAATGTGTTATGTATTTTTGTGTGTGTATATATGCTATGATATTCAAGTGTATATGCATCATATTTGTGTTCGTGTTTTTGTGGATTTATATTTATCATATTTTTTGAGTTAAATATATTTGTGGTTCTCATAAATATCTCAATTTTCAATTTTAGTCCCTTAAAATAGTTCTTTCAAAGAATGGTCCTCCTATAATTTTTCATCCACACTTTTGGTCTCTCTTGCAAATTAGCGACAATTTTTACAACTTAGCAACAAAATTAGCGATGATTTAATACTTAGTGACAATTTTAGTATAGGGACCAAAAGTGTGGATGAAAATTTTTAGGAGGACCATTCTTCGAAGAAAATATTTTGAGTGACTAAAAATGAAATTGAGATATTTAGAAGGACCACAAACATATTTAACCCTATTTTTTTAGATGATGAATTTACAATAGTATTTTTTATCAATGTTTTTTTGTCCTAACCCCCACATTAAGGTATTAAGGGAGTGTGAGTGATACCAACATGGACCTTGTGCTTGACATTTACCCATCCCACAATGTTGTTGAGAATTACGTGTCTTAGAAGTAGTCTTTCTAGTTGCTAATAAAGTTCCTAAATGTTAGGAGTAGAAGTTTGTTTAAGTTTGAATTAGTTTTTGCTGTAATCCAGTCCTTCCTAATTATAAGGAGAAGTTACATTTTTTCTTGTACTTTTAGTCATTTGTAAGGCTATTTAAAGCCATGATTGATTATGCTATTAATAACAAAATAGTTTTATTCTGGCCAATAGTTATCAAATGTGAGATCCAAAAGAATAACAAGGAAACCCATTTACTTGAATGATTATGAATAGTTTGGATATTTCTAAAAGTAGTTTGCCATTCTTACCATGTTTTATCTTATTATTTGTATTTTTAGTTTTGCAATTATGTTCCTGAATTTGAAGATAACCAATCATTGGAATTTGTAATTCCTTTATGTTTAAAGTATTATTATTTTTATTGTGTGACTAGGAGGTCATTGTCCTCAAATCTAAGGAAACCTTATCAACTGGTCCGACCTATCATGGACAACCACAACACACACTCCAAAATCGCTACCAAACTCCTTGAAGAAGTTTTCATATGCCTCACTCAACACCAAATTACCATATCTGAAAAGCAATCATCCCTCTCCAATAAAATAGATGTCATTTTTAAGCAACTACAATCCATGTCTACCCATAACCCTCACCCAACACACCTCTACCACCATTTCCACCCCCTGTGAACAATAATAACAACCGACTTGTTATGAAATTTGAGGTCCCTCATTTGAATGGTGAAGATGAAATGGGATGGACTTTTAAAATCTCACAATTTTTTGTTACCAACACACACCAGAGGAAGATGAAATGCAATGGCTTAATCATTTTCTAGAGCGACTGACTCCAAGCGCTAGAATCCGATTTCACACCATCTTTTTACGATAGGCCGAAGGGAGCACTTTCAAACTGTCACAAAAAAGATCTGTAAATGAATATCTAGCCGAGTTTGAGAGGTTAGCAAATTGGATTGTTGGTTCACCTACTGGTTTCCTTTTAAGTTATTTCATATTTGGACCCTTGCCGGAGATTAGGCAAGAAGTGCATGCCTTACATACTTTCTTGTTACCCAAGCCACTGATTTAGCAAAGCTTCAAGAGGAATAAAATAGAAGATAGAAAATGAAGCTACAAAGGAAAAGGGGTTTTTACATATGCGACTAACAACACACCAAAATCGAATACCAACATTAATGCCTAACCCCAATTACTAGTAAATCCAAACACCAACTAATTCTAATTGAAACGGATATCTCCTAAAAAATTGGATTCTCTCTGTAACAAAGAACTCTACTACGACTACGATGACAAATGGTTCAATACACAAAAGTGCATAGGACGCCTTATCCTTTTCGTTGCAAAAGAAGACAAAGGCACCCATAAATATTTGGTTTACCCTCCGGTTGATACACCGCCTTTTGAAAAACTAGTTGAAGTGCACATCAGCTTCAGTTCTCTCTTCGGGATAGGTACCCACACCTCTGACTTGCTGTGCTTATTGTTGTACCCTAAAATTTGACCAACCCTTTTCTTGTACTTGGCTTATGTTTCATTTCATCTTTAATATTTGCATTTTTATAGCATTGTAC